AATCAGGTGTGCAAAGTCCAAACAGTTGCTTAACGCTGCCTAACGTGGCTTTACCCTGCTCTACCCACAGTGAGGTGTAGCCAGTGCAGCCAAGAGGGCAGCACACATTGTGCTTGGGCACCATCTAACCAGGCTCACCTACAAGTGTGGAGTTTATACACCCAACACACTAAGCATGATGAGATCTTCATTCATGGAAAATAGGCAGCACCCGGATTTAGATCTTCAATGAGAGAGAACTTTTCAAAATGTTCAGGGTTGAAGCCTTGTACTGCTGTACCTGGTAGGAGGGGCCATTTGGCATGGGAAGTGGAAAGGAAAGTCAATAGGAGAAGAGTTATCCTTTTTGACCTGAGCTCTTAGGTATGGGTAGCTGTTGCATTGAGAATACTGCTTAGAAATAGAACGGAATACCAGAAGAATAAACAGACAAAAGTGAGACCTTAAAAATGCCTATTCCATGTGCCAAAGTCAAATTTAAGAAAAGAATTGCAGCTTAAGAGCAGTGAAATTTTATACTATCAGATAAAAGGCAGTGAAAGAAGGGAAAAAGAAACAGATGCAGACAAATAATAGAGGGACAAAAAGTGGGAACATAATGTAGACTTTCCTACAGACTACTTTGCTATTCTGGATTTCAGTAGGTACCCCCTGGGACTTCAGGGAGAGATTTTTTTCCCTAGTACTATTGCAAACATGTCCTTGTGGGAAATTTGCCTTTACCAGGCTAGAGCAGTCTAGCCTCTTTAAACAGTCTTTCTGCAAATGTCTAATCCATTAACAAATTAATTTCTGAATTTCAGACCATACTGATAGTGGACATACAGTGTTCCCAGTAGAATACAAAAATGAGCAGTTTCCTGTCCTGAATGAAGCCTTGACTATTGTGAAAAAGTCATAGTTATGGCCTTCTGATAGCATGTCATGTGTTGCTAAATTTTTATGTTTTCTATGGCACAAGTTCTGGCCTCTGTTGGAATGGTGGTTTTTATATCAGTCCATCTTGATCTCTGTATAAAGACACTGGGATTGGATATCTACCTGCAGGTAGTCAGTGGCCTAACCTTGTTCTTGTAACATAAATGCTGTAGTCAGTCGTAGTCAGAGGATGTACCTTCTTTTGAATAAGAAACACTAAAATACATCTGAAATAACCCACTTCATGCAGAAAGTTGATTCTTGAATGTTTATTGATGGCTAACACTGATGTTCTCATCTCCTCTGCTACTTCCAGAGAGAAAAAGTGACCAAAAAAGAATTAGATTTAGCTTAGAGAGCCCAGTCTGAAAATATATCATGACTGTGAAAGCATCAATTAAAACTGACCCCACCTTACTCAGGAGACCTGTACAATATGTGAATTAAGATCAGACATGCTAACTTCTAAGGCACAAGCAAGTTATTTTTCATTGCCTCATGATCGACAGCACTGTACCAGCACAGCAAATAAGAATAATCAGAAATAAGCTCACAAGAAGCTCATCTTTTAATTTTTTCATTACTAGGGATCACAGGAAAGGCAGAAGGAAGCAGCATTCTGAAGATATCAGGGAAAAGACTATTGCAGGGATAAAATAAATAGCAATTAAGTAAAAAATTGAGTCTGCTTGATCAGGACTCACTGCAAGAAAGTAACAGAAGGCTGTGGTACCAGGTCTCAAGCAAAAAAAGGGCTGTTTTCATGACTGTCCCTTGCTGGTCAGACATACGAGTGCCCCTAACAAACTGGGAATATTGAAGGTGTTTGATGGTGTCTCTGAGCAGACGGGAGTACATCCAGGGGGAGAGACAGAAATGTCCTGCAGGGAACCAATCTAGAAAAAGCCAATTTCAGGACCAAGCACCAGCAGTAAATTGATGTTTATAATATTTAAGTCATCTGTAAAGGAAATATGATGGTGTGTTGTGTAAGGAGCAGAGTCAGGCCAGTGATTGCTTCTGTGTGTTTTAAGTAATACAATATGACAGACCACATCAGATCAATGGTGCTGATTAATGAACAGCTCTGGAAAGGTAGCTAACAAGAGATGAAAGGGTCAAGACACACATTTCAGGAGGGAGAAGAACGATCAGTGCCTAAGAATACAGAGTTATGGTCCTGGAGTCCATTAATCATCAGCACTATTATGTAAAGTACCACATTTTCTCCTGACTTTATGCCCACTGCAACTGCACTGAAGTCAGTATAAAACTGACCTAAAGTGTACATCTTAAATCACAATCTGTAGTACATCACTGCTATCATAAAAGGGACCTTCCTTAATAAAAACACTGATAGAATTAATGTTTCTTACACCCTCTAAATTAACAGATAAAACTTGGAAAGATCAAGGTGGGATAAAAGTGAGCATATATAAAATGCCCAAGTTATTACCATTAGTGGGAATATTTAAGTAATAAAAGTCTGCACTTCTGGAATGCATTCATGCAGAAAACTTATCCTCCAAAATCTTAATTAAGCACACAGTACCTCATGGAGCAGGAACATAATGCTTTCCTTTTCTGGATAGAGAAGCCCATGTAGAGAGGGAAGGAGTTACTTAACCCACTGTCATGCATCCCATTCCTCTGTTGTCCTGCTTGCCTCTCTTATGGTCAAATATCCTTCTCCTCTAACTTCTCCCAAGATTAAGTCTTTTAGAAAAACTTGAAGTGTTTCCTTCTCTGTTGCACCCCCCATGTCTTCAGAAACACCATCAGCTTTGCTGATTTTACATATTTAAAAAGTACCTAACAACTGATGAGGATCTCTGTGCTTTATGCTCATTACACTGGAGGAAAGAGATATCTCTTCCCAGGCCATAGCAAAAAAATATGGAGCAAAATGGAGATATTTTAAGTATTGCCTTTCACAGAGATTCCTGTGCCCAGATTTTGTAGAAGACTTTGAACAGCCCATTTCTAACAACTTGTCTGCCTGACCCTTGATGTGAAGCCAGATTGAGTGCTAGGCAGTGCTACAAGACAGAACCACTTGGATTGGGATCCCAGAGATTAGAAGAGCAATAATGACAAAAAAAGAGAGGTGACAAAATATGTAGGATTAGTACATGCAGTTCTTAGGCTTCTCTTGTGTGAAATTAGGAGTGAAGTGAGCAGGAGTTCTGCAAAGTAAAGACTAAAGATGCAATCCTGTGATTTTTCTGCTTCTAGTACAAGTTAAAAATGCATGTTAACTGAAGTACTAGGCAGTCGTTAAGGCACATGGGATTTATGCCTTAAAAAGGTGAGGAATAGCCAGATAAAAGACAGACCTATGAGTGCAATGTGGATAAAAGAAACAAGGTCAGCATTAATAGAACAGGTGGGGCGTATATGGAAGTGGGAAGGAGAGCTTGAAAGTAAGCCATGCTGAGTGTTAGCAAGGGCTTAAATCTACAGAATCCTTGGGCGCTGCTGCACCTTTGAAATTCAATTCTTGGTACTGGTGAAAGGTGTCACTGTTTTATGTAATTCTTTTGAGCTAACCTGATGCTGACATATGGTTCCTCTCCCAAGCCCTGGTGAAACTCAGAGGTTTAGGCTAAGTTGAGGATTTTTGTGTGTGTGTGTGTGTGTGTGTGTGTGTGTGTGTGTTTGAATTTACTTAATTTGCAATTCAAAGCAGACTCCAAGAGGGAAGAACCTACAAAAACTGGAATCAAAGAAAGTGTTTGCTTGAGCCCCTGTGAAGTGTAGCTGCCAGGTTTCATGTGGCCTGTTGAAATCAGTATGTAGTATCTATCCCAGTCACTAATAATCATCATCATTACAAAATGTGTGAATTGCACATAAAACTGAATGTATATTTTGTGAAGTACATTATTACAGTGTCATCTAAAATCCTTCATTGTGTCTGTTGGCACTCATTCCTGTGTTCCTGCTGCATGAACAGTGGAGTTTTTTTCTTGTTTTGCATTTACAGAGATAAATTCCAACTTGCACAGTGACATTAGCTACCTGTGAAATAACAATTACATCTCTTATCATTTTTTGTCCACCTTCTTGATTTTTTTGATAAAGCAAATATTTGCTTTTCTTGTCTGATCAGAGTAGGCAAAATCATTTCTTCATGGAAATAGCACCAGTGGCTTCACTGTATATGATGTCCTGGGAGTTCTTTGCATAAGTGAAGTAAGCAGGATTCAATTCTGTCCCTGGATGTTAACTTCAGATGTACTTCCAACATCCACAATGAACCACCCAAGGATCATAGGAAGCTAGCAAAGGCAGAGTTCTATAAGTCTAGAGAGGCATTCAAGTCCCCTAAAAATGTAAATACTTCCAAAAACTTAGGTCTGGATGGTGAAATCACCCTCTAATAAATACTGGAGCTGAGGTTTTTCTGTGGATCCCATTCTATATTAGTCCACTGGTTCCAACTCTCTCTTTAGCTCAGAAGATTTCAGAGATAAAACTGCTGCCGAGCTGAATCTTTCCTGCAAGGCTGACAATAAGTTAATTCCCTGGTGCCACTGCAGTAGACCTGGTGGCTGATGGGAGATAAGTGGGGTTTCTGCTTTGATATGAGCCATCATTTTTGTGATGTGAAGACAGCAAAAGACACGAAGGAGGATTTTTTCCTTCCTTTTCCTGCCTTTCAGTCCTGAGGAAGCATTTGTTGCTCCTCTGAACAGGACTAGCCTTGTTGTTCTGATGAGATGCACTTGAGTATGCCAAGTTTGTGCTAGCTCTCCCATCACTGCTCCGTGCTCATGCCATTAGAGTGAGCCGCTTCTCAGAATGAATCCTACTGATAGCACTTTGCTGTCTAATCCTCCCTCTCCTCCTCGCTTCACCAGATTAGTTGCATGGGCAGCCTGGGATAACTGGGGACTGACTCTGTGGTAATTTGCAGCCAGAGCTGGAGGGATTGAAGCAGGAAGAATCTGGTGCTACCAGGCTGCAGCCAGCTGTACTGACAGTGGAGAATGCCAGTTAGCGTTGTAGCAAATTTTCTTGCTTTTATTAAATAATTATTATTTGCCCCTGACCTTTCCTTTTGATTCTTCTTGGTACAGACACAGCCTCTCTCTGTTCCCTGCCCCAATGAACGTCTGCACTAGGTCCAAGGCTTGGAGTAATTTACCTGAAGAGTGATACCATTTGGAAACCACTGTAAGTATATTTTATCTCTTATAAAAGACTTCTTGTTCAGCAAAAAAAAAGACATCTTAAAAAAACAAAACCAAGCTGCAGCACCTGCAAGCCTTACTGATGAGGGTAAACTAAGTTTTGCTTTTGAAATTTGCAAGGAAATATGTGGGCAAAAAGTATGTCAATAAAAAACTGTTAAATATTTAAGCCATAGCCTCACAGCATAGTTCAGCAATGGCTGGTTTGATCTGCTTGTATCTTTTACTTTGGCAGGTTCTCCCTACTTACTGCTCTAGTTCATGCTGTTCTAGTTGGTTCATCCATGTTTGTCTTTGGAGTGTTTATCTTCTTTTTTATTCTTATAACTTTTTAATGAGACACCTTTTCTCTCACTGGTGTTTCAGGCAATACAGATGAAATGTACTGCAGCTCCTTAAAGGTTTACACTATTCTTTCCAGGCCTTGAGTCATTTATGATTTAAGGCCATTATGATTTGTAAGATTTGGCTGGATTATATAGGTAAAGTTGTCTGAGAGAATTTTGACTTTGCATTGTGGTTTTATTATGCTCTGAAATGACCACTTGTCTGTTATTTGCGGTATTTTCCCCTGTAGATCCCATATTTTTGAATTCTTATGATCAATTCTCAGTACTTGCCAGTATTGTCACAGTGTTGCTGTGGCCGAGATGCTCTGAGGTTTTAAGTCAGGCAAGTTTTGTAGTCGGGGCCCAACTTTCATGAGACTTGTGGTTGAAACGGAAAAAACAGACAAGTCTGGGGGCATGTAAACCCCTCTTCAGGCCTAAAAAAGACACAGCAAATTTCACTCTAACTTAATCTCTGAGTTTAATTTAATTATGTTAATCAGTCTCCTGTAAGGGATTTTGGAGTTTATTTTACTTTTCTGTGTTGATTAAATTTTCCAGGCTTTTATTGCACTAGAACATTGGGTCTCTCTTGTCAGTTCTCCATGCCTCCCATTCTTGCTTTGCAGTGTTCTGCTGGGATTTCTCTTTCGTATTACATTTTATGGCGATGTTTTCAGGAGTTTGTGTTTTCCATTGTATGACACAAACTTGCAATCAGAGATTTTAAACAAACTGCCAGTCATGTAGCTGTAACAGCATGAAGATCAATGTGGCTGCAAAATCATCAGAGAAGCTCCGTGAATATTCAGACAGTCAGCCTGTGCAGGACTTTTAACTACTGAACAACACTTCTGGCAGGAAAACTGTGATGGCTCAGGTAAAGCCAGCCCATCTTGGGAAACTTCACCCTCAGTTCTGGCATTCAGAGTGCCCTGAATTTTGAGGTGAGGTCTCTGGGCAGATTTCAGTGCTTTTTGTTGTTCTTTCGAGCCTTTTTTTTTTTATATTCTATGATTGTGCTCATCTCTCTCCCTCTTTACTTTGTCAGTTTCTAAATATGTATTGTCAGTGTCACGTCTGGAAGAGACACAACACTGGCAGTGATAAGCACTGATATCAGGAGCTGTGTTAGCCGCACACAGGCAGAGGAAGAATGTGCAGCAGAAGACTCAGGAAAAATATTACTTAAAATCAGACATGAACTATTTTCACACTCTTATTTTTAGGATCTGAAAAGCTGGAGGTTTTTTTTCAATTATATATAGCCTCTGTGAATTACTAAGGTTACAAACGAACTGTACACCAGTGAGTTAAGTGCAGTGCTTGGACACTACAGGCATCTCTGACCTGAGGGCACTTACTGTAAGGTGATGCCATATCTGTGTGGAGGTGAAATAATGCCTGGAACATGGGTGGGCAGACTCAGCCAGCAGCAACACTCATAACAACATCAGCAACCCTGTGGTGTGTTCCCTCCGTGCTGTTTAATGTGCGATGAACAAAGGTCTGGTTGGTGACCCAGCCCTCCCTGTATTCAGAGGCTGAAAACTGCCTCATTATTGTTCATTATGTAGTATTATTCTCATGCAGTCACATTATCATAGCTTCCCCTGAGAGGCAGGATGCTACTGTGGGCTCTGCGTGGCTACACTGGCTCCTATACCTGAGCTAATTTGTTCATTGCTAACCTGGTGTCTCTGCAGAATAGAGAGCTGTTCCCCTTGTAAGGGAAGGTTCAAGCATTAGTTATAGCTGCTGGGTGAGAAGTACAACATACATTGTCTATTTTTGACAGGGACCTGGTTTGCTGGCCCTGCTGTGAGAACGTGTTAACTCATCCAGGGGAAATTCATTCCAACTGTGGAGAGCAAGTGGAGGGTTGAGGGAGAGAAAGCTGTATGCAAGAGTGGCAGCAAGAAAGGGGAAGTGTAGCAGGGCATTCCAAAGCTCAAAAGTAGTAATTAGTTTCTAGATAGCTTTGAGGTTAGGACATCCAAAATATTACCCATTCTGCCTTCAAATTAAACAGAAAGGAGCCAATTCTAGTTTACAGCCCAGATCATTGCAGCCACTGCATCACTGTGAGTAGCCCCTCACTTGAGACCTTGTTGTATGATAGTGCAGTGTTAAAGTATGTGGACAGGAGGGAATATCTCGGTGCAATGAAGATACTGACAGCAAACAGAAATAAAATTATGGCAATGATTGTAAATCTTGCTTTACACATGAGCTGGCAAGTCCTGATATGCCCAGTTCAGTTCGAGGATGACAGTGGATGCAGTTAGCCTAATACTGGTACTGGAGAACATACAATGAAGAAAAAAGGGAATATATTTTAAGTGGTGTAAATTAACATAATGAAAACAAACACAATAAATATAAGGGAATGGTGAAAGTGAATACCAAAAAAAGTACCTGGACATAGGACAGCAAATTTAAAGAGATGGAGAAGGTAGGATGCTTAGAAATGGACCGGATGAATCTCTTGTAAATCAGTAGCAAATACAAATTCTGCAGTGACCCTCTAGACTCAGATTAGTCTTAGAAAGGTCAGCATCTTTTCTGTCCCCAACTTCTGGTATTCTGTGCATCAGGTCCATGTACAGAAGTGCCGTCTCTTTGCTATATTGGCCTTCTGCTGTCCTTCACAAGAAGCGAAGACGATGATGGCCCTCTGATTATTTTAAGAATGAGTGCAATATTGGAAAGGACCTGTAACGCACCACACGTGTGCGTGGAGAAGGAGCTCAGAGATAACTGGATATCAGAATGGAGCCCCTTGCTCCAAGAGCACATTCCCAAGTCTTTTGCAAATAAGTTGCAACTTTTATTGCCCTAACAAGTAAATAGTAAACATCTTGTTTCCAGGGTTAGTCTGTAGAGAGGAACATAATCACAAGAACTAAAGTAGCAAGGTAAACTGACCCTTAATACTGATATAATCACATAGGGTTGCCAATCAATGAAATCCAGAGGTGGTACATAAGTAGGTATAGTTAGGGAAGGTTCCATGAACAATATTTATTACTTGTTTCATTCTCACTCCTACACTTGTTCTTTCAGGGTTTTTCATGTAGCTATAACAAGTCATACTCTTCCACAGTTAGTGTGCTATAACAAGTCATACTCTTCCAGAGTTAGTGTGCTATTTAAGCTTCTGGAACTTGGAGATATATTAGAGAGCTTGCTGATGGAAGTGTTCATAGGAGAAGTGTGCAATCAGAAAAAAATTAGGTTGGAATGGTCCTCTGGAGGTGTCTAGTCCAATTCCCTGCTCAGAACAGAGCTGACTTCCAAGTTGGATTAGGTTACTCAGAGCCTTGTTCAATTAAGTTTTGAAAATCTCCAAGGATGGAGGTATGACAACCTGATTCAGCACTTAACAACTCTCCCTATGAAGACTATAGTAATAACATAGCAATAGAAGTAGACTATGAAAGAGAATGTAAGAATATTTAATTAGAATATATAGGTGAAGATCATAGCAATAGGAGCTTTCTATATGGGTGATAAGGTAGAACAAAAGAATAGCAATATACTTACAACAACAGCAGGATTGCTCTGCCTTTGCCTTTGCTGGCAACAGCAGTCTGACATTGCAGAGTGGAGAACTTTGTTTGGGTTTCTTCATAGGTAGTTTTGATCACAGTGTCTCCAGGATTTTTCTTTTCTGAAAAGTTTTCTTTAGATCCTTAACTGACCTGGCTGATTCCATTACTCAGCCTTTCTCCTATGGAAGCCTGTGTTCCTTTCAGGTGGTACTGAGATGCCGAACATGTCTAAACAGTGAGAGAAATGAACTGCTGTGGAGAGGTATTGTCTCTGGTGCCAGTCAGCATCATTGCTATTCTTACCGTCCTAGTAAGCACAAGTCATCAAGCTGCAGGACTCTGATGTTGAAAAGTGATGACAACGAGCATCTTGATAACACAGTGTCAGCCTTAAGAGCAAAGTAGAAAATATATGGCTTTGGAAAGGAAGAAGCAGGGGGTCCTTTGCACAGTCTCCTTGGTGTTACTACCTGTTGCTATAGCATTTTTTAACCTATCCCTGTAATGAGTTTTGAAGGCCTGGGAGGCACACACAGGATCAGCCACAGGATGAAGCATCAGTCAGTGCTTGGTCTAACAGCACAACTCTGGCTGTGCTAGTGGCTGACAAGTCATGTTTACTTGGACTAAGCCTCTACCCTGCAAATAACAGCAATGTCCTGCCCAGGGTAGGTGGCTTTGTGTGTGGGTAGAGCTGGAGTCAGAGGCTGTATTCCAAGCATGTAACTTGGCTTAACTCTGAGCTGAAAACATACCCTAAAAACAGCAGTTCAGCTTCCAGGTGCAAGGAACTTCATTGCCCTGTGCATCCAGAGTCCAGCCTTACATACATCCTTTGCTGCCTGGACAAAAAGATGTGCTATCTGAAAGCTGCTTGGGTAGCAGTGCTGTAAACCCCCATTGTTTTGCACACAGATTTCCTGCAGTCCCTAGTGCATGTTGGCTACACATGGGAACATCATGGGATCTGGAAATGAGGCATGTGTGAAGGTGTGCCAGAGTTCGTATGCCAAGGATCCATGCAGACTGTTACAAACAAAACATATGCAGTCCACGTACTTCAAAATATATGTGCCCACATACAAACTCTATGTCTCATGCATTCTCATTCGCGTTGCAAAAGATGGATCCTTCCCATGACAGAAAGGGGAACAGACGGATAGATACCCAAGCTTGGAGTGACAAGATGCTCTGTTTACTCTTCATGCAAAAAAATACACTTTTAAATGCTTTCATTTTCCTTCTGTTTAAAATAGAGTTAAATCAGCTCGGCCCCTTTCTATACCTCTACAACTTTAAGTAAGGTCCATATAGTCATGTGCTATTGTTTTAAATCAGATTAGATTTTAGCCAGTGTATTTTGAGCATGTTGATTACAGACACGTAGTTCACAGCAGCAGTGCCGTTGGCCCGTCCCGTGGCGTGGGGGTTTGTAGCCCCAGTAAGACAAAACACATCAGGGCTGCCGGCAGCTGCGGGGTTATCGGTGTGACCCCCATTGGCGATGCCTCATGTGCGAAGCTCAGCTCCCCGGCCGCGCCCCGGAACCCCGTCCCGCTGAGACAGGGCGCCCTTTCCTGCCCAGGGCATCCCTCCAGCGCCGGGCAGCCCAAGGCAGGTGCCGACGGCCAACCCGGCCCAGCACCTCCGAGAGAGAGGGAGGCTTTGCAAGGCGAGGGGAGGGGGATTTGTTTTATTACTTTTTGTCCCGTTTAACTTTTCTTTATTATTACAATTGCAGTTTTTCTGCCCGCTCTGCCCCTCGCCCGGGCTGTGCGCCGGGCCGGGCCGGGCCGGGCCGGTGCTGCCCCCCGCCGGCGGCGCGGGGAATGGCGGCGGGCCCGGCCCTGCCCCCGGCCGGGCGTGCCGCCCTTATGTAACGCCTTTATGTAACCGGCCGGGCCGGGCTGCCCCTCCTCGCCCCCCGCGGGAACGGGGCCTGCCTTGCTGTAACATCGAGTTACGGAGAGGGCCGCTCTGGCTCTCAAGCGCCGTGTTTTGGCGTGTCATCTGCACGCCGCCCGTCCTGGGTGGGGTGCAGGAGGGCAAGGGCGTGCGGGAATAAGGGGCTCCCGCCTTGGTCCTTCAGGAGGAGAGCCCAGCCCTGTTGGGAAGGGCTGTGCCCGCAGATGGGAAGCAGGACTGTGTGTGCGGGGCGCAGGGCAGCGCTGCCTGGGCTTCAGCAACACCTCTGTGCTCTGGGACGGCCCGTGCTCGGGCCGGACGCTGCCCCTACACCGTGGTCGCCCAGCAGTGTGAGGCGCTGCCCCGGGAAGGATGAGATGACCCCCCCACTCCCGGGGGGATCCGCCGCTGCTCGCACCTCGAGTGTCAGCAGCAGATAGCGGCGTTTTATTTGGATGTCTTCGGCCTCCGCACCTCTTGTTGCTCCTTTTCCAAGTGTGACCCACAGTTCTCCGCCTGGCTGCAGTGGGAACTGCCGAATGTTTGCCGGGGTGCCATCGGCGTGCCCCGGGCCAGGGCAGCAGTGCCCCTGGCTGGGCAGCGACTGGCCTCGGGGAGCACAGGAGGGAGCACCTGCACCTGTGTAACGGAGCAGGGGAAACAGAGGGACCCTGTTCAGAGTGTTCACTGTGCGATGCAAAACCTGCCACGTCACCTCATACCTCAGTTTCTCCATCTGTGGAAACTAAGGTGGTGATTGACTACCTGCTTGATGATGTACCACTGAGGCTTAATTCCTTGGAGGTCCTGGATCAAGTACGGTGTTGAGAGCTCATGTGCACAGTGCTCACAGACCATTATTCCAGGCTCCAAGTCTTCATGCTTTACTTAGATGATCTCTGCATCTCAAAATTGCTTCAGTTTTTCCCTACAAAGTGAGTCTCTGCACTGATTTGTTTTGAACTGGAAACTTGCATATTTGTTTGCTTTTCAGACAATGCTGTTAGATTTCTGTATAACTCTCTCTATTCAGAATGCTACAGCCTTGGTTAATATTTGTCAAATGGAGCTCCAACTGTCTAAACCACTGGGACGAGTTTCATTTTATATGTCATCAGTAGGGGCAGAATGAGGAGCTTCGTGCTTGGCCTATTTGCTGTAACACAGTCTCAGGGCCATTGCATCAGAGTCAAAACAAGGAGCAGCTTGTTTCCAAACAAGAAGCATGGAGGAAAGTCTTCTCTGCCTCCTTCCCTGTAAGGGAAAAGAGAGGCGAGAGGGGGGTGGTGGTGGGGGAAGAAAGTTATCTTTAACAGATTCTAAAAATGCCTTTTCCCAAATATGCAGTCAGTCCCTTCAAAGGTCTCTTTGTTTATTTTCAGGAAGAAACCCAAGACAGCTGAAAACCAGAAGGCGTCTGAGGAGAATGAGATTACTCAGACGGGTGCATGCAGCGCCAAGCCGGGCCTTCCCTGCCTGAACCTTGAAGCTGTTCCGTCTCTGAGCCCGGCCCTCATCCACTTTCCACATTCACCAACAAACCTGCACGCACACACAGGGTCATCTGATTGTGAGTACACCAACATGCTGCTGGGTTGTGCTGGGGTTCTTGAAAACACGTTCCCTATTGTGGACCAGGTTTTCCAGTTGGATGCTCTTTCCATAATGTCATAAGCAGGACTTCCTCAGGGCTTACCTTCACCCTTCTTTGGGAATTACCACTGAAACACAGCATTTTTCTGTTAAGGTCGTGATAATGCAATCGAGCAGAGGAAGCTGAGACCATGTTGTTGGGTCAGGTTGCTACTTCTTACAAATTAAAAAGGGAAGATCCCTCAAGCGTGTCTCTGTCCAACTAGAACTGTAGTTGCTCCTCTCCAGGTAATCACATGCTTCTCATTACCCAAGCATATCTGCTGACTGGAGGGTTTCAGCCTGTGCTGTACTGCAGTGGTAGAAAACAAGTGTCTGGCTCTGACACCCAGCATTGTAAAGGATTTCCACGAAAAAAGGGGAGTGTTTTGTGGAGGGAATCAGTCTGTGAGAATCTGGAAAATCTTCGTAGACCTGTTTGGTTGTTAAGTTTTAAGGCCCTTGTTTTGAGTGCATTCACTTTCAGATTACTCAGCATGGGTTAATTGGCATTTTAAAAATGTTCTTTTCCATTTTGCCAAAAAATACAAAAATAAAGGAGGGAATGATTAAAACTCGATTTTTGGAAAGTCATAACTTACCCTGTCAGCTCTTCAAAACATTGTTGTTTCACAGTGGTCCCTGCCTGGAAGTCTCTTGGGCAAGAATGTGCAGGGTACTGTGAACCTCATCATTCACTAGTTTTAGAATATATGGTTTACTTCTCCTGCAGTGGTTTTAGGATGTTGTAAAATTTACAAGAGGGGGGGAAAAGAAGAAAGAAAGATGATGACACCATGTTTCAAGAGCTTGGAAGCCAACCAGACTTTGCAAAAACCTATAAAAAAAATCAGGGCATGACAATAAAAAATCAGATTAAAAAGTATGTGTATTCTTTTCTTTTTTTAATTTAAAAATCCTGCCTCGGGGCCAAGCTTGGAAGCAGCCGGGTTATAGGGATCATCACTATCAAAATCACTTTAGCTGCAATTCATTCCTGTTGGCTTCTGACTTTATTCATTATGAGCTTCTGCGAGAGATCTTGATTTTAATAGAGCTGGTAAACATTGGGGACACTTTCCTAAATCTCACCTGGTGATTTGGGGAGAAGAAAGAGATGTGAAACAATTGAACAGCAGGCAGCATGCAATTTGGTATATACAAGAATTCTCTTCAAATTGGAGATGTCAGGCTCTTTGTTAAAACTGGGGTGCAGTTTTGTCTTGTAATGTTTTCTGAAAACAAAAAGCTTGTGAAAAGATGCAAAAAATGAGCAGAACAACAAGAAGAAATAATCCTTATTTTCAAACAAAGAATCCCTTTATCCCATTCACAAAGATGAAAGAGTTCATTAGTAAATGGGATTTGAAACCTCACATTGATGTTTTTTGACAGTACAAATGGAAACCCATGAAAGCAACCTTAGGACAGAGGCCAGCAGGGACTGTAGGGAACTTGGAGAATGAACTCCTGCTTTTGCTTTCTGAGGTGGCCAAGTTCAGGGGTGAGGAATATTGGCAGAAGGCAGCAGGGGGAGGTGGAGCCTGCAGCTCTTCATACTCTACCTGTTCTGTGGACAGTCTTTTAGACTCCTAAGTTTTTAATGTTCACAAATCATCTTTCAGATGATCTCAAAGATCTTTTCCAACCTAAACAATTCTATGATTCTATAAATATGAATAAACTGCAAAGCCAGGTTAGGTGCTCCTTTCACACTGAAAGTGTGGGTTTTTTTCAGAAAAGAGGTTTAATAACAATTTCACCATTAGTATTGTCCTGTCATGAATTATTGAAATTTAGTTCCCAAAATATAGAGTCCTGCAAAAATTCGGGGAATGGTAAGACCTCTTGTGGTGTTGATCTCTGTTAGTTGATTCCATATGCTTTGAAACCCATAGAAAAACTTCCATTACTTATGATGGGTTGTGACCTTTATCAGGTCTGTATTTGTTTGGGATGGTATGCATATAATTATTATTTGACATGCCTTTGCAAAATAGCAATGCCAGTTTCTCACATGAGCTAAAATGAAGTGTGATGAATATTTACTGTATATTTACTATAGCTTTCTCTCATGTTCTGTGGTATTTTTTTAATATTGCCTCAAGACTTACTGTTGGAATATGTTCCTTGACACGAGAGATTAATATTTTTGGCTCCCAACATTTAAAAAAGGCCTATCTCTACAAGTTCCTTCTCCATCACCTGTGGCGATGCTTTTCTTCTTTGGGCCAGCAACACTTCCTGTTCTTCTCTCTTCCTTCTAGACAGTACAGCATTGCTTCTCCTCTCTTGCCCAGACTATCATACTGCCTCTTCCCCCACAGCTGGGCAGATTATTTCATTTTTAAAGGACTGGTGGAGAGTTTTCTAGTGGATGGCAAATAATATAAAAATACTTAAAAACTAGCGTTAGATAGGAAGTTTGGGAGAAATTTTTGTCGAAAATATCAGAAACACCCAGAAAGAGTTAGCATGGTAGGGTATATCAATTCTCGGAAAAATGCACAGATGTACAGATGGTTTCATAAGGCCTCATTCATGTGTCTGGAAGAAAAGACTTGGATTTTATGGGCCACCTATTCAAATCAGTTTGAAATCTTCACTGACCATTTTGCATGCACAGTCACTGGTGCTTGGCAGAAAACACCACCACGTATTTTTTATGAGAATTATTCAGAAGCCAATCTACTTTAAAATATCAGGGTGCTTTTGGAATGATTCAGATCAAAATACTTTTTCCAAGCATAGGAAATAAAAACTCTATGATAGCCATCTGCTCTTCAGCTGTAAAAGGCAGAGGTGAAGAAAGCTTAAGCAATAGTATGAATGCCACTCTTACTGATATGAATGCTTAGCAAAAAAAAAACCCCTGAAGTCGTATGTGACACTGTTTAATTTAGGGGCTTTATTGTAGCATAGTATGTTCTACATGCTGTTTCTGGTGCCACTTATTCCAAATGAAATTGCATTATTTCTCACACTTGTAGGACTGGGTCCTAACATTCTGGATTTGAGTATTATATTTCCAGCACAGATGAATCCTTGAAGCAAAATCCAGAACCTAGGATGCATTGTGTCCAGTTCCATCTCTTTCAGTCTTGGGAAATGCTAAGTCATGCAATGCAATTGGAGAAACAATCTAGAGGAAGAGGTTCTTCCTGAGGTAACTGTTTTCATGGAGGGCTTGGCAGATAAAAAACACCACTTTGAATTAATTTGGAATTAAGTGATAGAGTGAGCTGATAGAGCTCCAGCTGAGTTATACCTCTAGCTACTCAGTTGTCACAAACACATGTAGCTGCTTACCCAGAAGAGAGGTATTTGTGCAAAAAGCTGCAAGGACAAGCACAGGTTCTGGAAAGGTTACAAAAAAACAAAGGAAAGCATATGAGATTTGTGCTATATGCAGTTTTTCACATATTTCCTTGCTTGTGGATAGAGAATGCATAGTTAGTAGAGTTCTTGTTCGAAGGCTGAACTGCCTCAGGTAAAGCTTCTGAAGATTTTGCTGAGAGGAAGAAAGTCATTAGGACTTGGCTGTATTTAAACTGAGTTGATCTGTATAGGCCACTTATTTCAGGAGCATTTCAGAAAGCATTTATAACTCTATATGTTCTGCAAGTACCAAGAGATAAGATCATTTTGGCAGAAACTTTCTCAGAGATACAATCAGACAAAAACTTCATTCAAGCTCTGATGTATGCATCTTAACAGATGTGTCCAAACTCAAAGGAATCCCACGGGAACAGTGCAACTGAATCTCTTTGTCTCTATTGATAGTTAAAAGAGTTATTCTTAGATATTGGATGGTCCATCTGTGAAGGAATTTGTTCCAGACAAGACAAAAGCAACATCTTTGCAAAGAGTTTCCATGGGACTGAGAGACAGGTTGGACAATCACTGGAAAAACTTCTGAAGCAATTTTTATGATTTTAGAGAACACAGAATTCTTGCGGAGACCTGAGATTCTGGTAAGGAATGAGTTGAGAAGGAAAGTAAGGCATGAATGTTTTTTGAAAAATCCATTAAACAATCATTGGCAGGATGTTGAAATAGGAGAGGACTTTCTAAGGTTATGTTTTAGCAAGGGACCAGGAAGTTTTTGTGCATTAAATAGAATGCATTTTATAAACACTCTCAGTGATAGACTACATCTGAACTTTTTGCCCCTACATGCTCAAGTAACGTGGCTGAGTTGGTCTAATTCCAGCATTTTTCAGCTTTCACAGGATGGGAACTCTGAAGCAGTCTGTTTTCTTTTTTCCTTCTAAGTTATGATTTTTGTGGCTTCATAGCCTTCCAGCATGGCAGGGAAAGTCAAGAGAGGAAAGCTCATGAGGTTCCTGAGCTCCACAGAGCATTGAGAGTGGATATGGAAACTCTGGGTTTCCATTTTCTTGAGCAGCTAGAGGGACCTACCATTCTCTTCCCATGAATCTGCAGGTTTGATTTTTGATTTGCGTGGGGCTAATATAGAGGCTAGATGGATCTGAAGGTGGTTTGGCCTCATCTTTACCTTTTAGGTTTCCTGTATTCCTCTTTGAGGTTCTGTGGCAGGAAGAGAATGGTTACATGCCCTTATGGTCTTCCCTCTCCCTCTGGAAATATCTGGCTATGATTCCCTAGGAACTGCTTTGGAGCTTTCAAATGGTTTCCACCCTCAGTGAGGAGAAGAGGGGCCGTGATTCTAGCAGCTTCTTTGTTTATAGTCAGACAGTATGTCAATAGTAATTTCATCTGTGTTTTTGCTAATCTATGTATGGTATGTCTTAGCTAATGCTGAATATTTTTAGGTTGTTTTTGGTGACCTAAGAAATGATGTATGTTTAGATATCTATTTTAGATGATATAATAATAATGATACAGGCCTTTTCCGTAGAAAGCTAAACTGAAAGCAAGGGTACCCATAGTTCTCAAATACTAGTGTCACAACTC